TATCCTGGGTTTTGCCATGGAGGGGGAATGGAGACACCTTTCGACTAAGTAAGGCGAATCTGCTCACCCCCTTTGTTCCTTCTTTTTTTTGACATTTTCTTGACTATATGCTCCTATCTTTGTAGTTGCCAATTTGATGAAAGCATGATGGCAAACTCCGTACAGGCTTCTCAGTGAGTCAAAGGAGCTGCTGTCAATGATGATTCGAAGGTAACTTCAATTTTTAGTTCCATAGATTGTTATTGTAGTATTGTCAATATTGTGTCCTCTTATCCTTCCTGCTATTCTGTGCCGCCGGGCCGAGGAGGACAAGCCGGCATGCTTCGACTCCTACAGGGAGATTGTTTTTTATGTGGATGTCCTAGAGACGGGATTGAGGTTTTTCATACCTGGGCCCACCTATCGGATTTTAGGTCACTTGTCATTTACCGCAAGGAGGTTGACCTCGAATGGCTGGAGGGTAATCTTGGCGCTCTTTTCACTATGGCGACTGCTTCATGGCGAGGATGGTTCTCCCCCTTTTGAGAAGTTCTTGGCTTCATATGTACTTTTAGATAATCTCACTCCTCATCAAGGATGGTACCACTTTATTTCGAGGTCGGGCAAGCCAATCACTAGACTACTCTTGAATTGTCATAGTTGGAAGTCCAAGTTTTTCTTCGTGGGAGATAAGTGGGCTGCCAAGGAGGATCGTGACTTAGTGCCCTTGAGATGGTGTATTCTTCTGAAGACCAAGCTAGGTATGAGTTTTCCCCTTGCTTTTATGTCTGAATATCATATCCCTCTCATATTCACTGCCTCTTTGGTACTTTTGTAGCTTCACCCATATTATATGCGAAACAAGAGAGTAGACTCCAAGCTATGAGGGATCATCCTACCAAGCAATTTGCGGCCCTTACGTCTGCGTTGAGTCACTCTAGAGCCTCCCTTAAGTAAAAGAGGAAAGGTATTGATCTTTTCAATAAACTTGATGAGTGTAAACTCTTCTTCTTACGCCAATTCCTCTGATGATA